AGGGGGCAAAGCCAGTCATGAGGGAGTGAGGAACTGGAGGGCAGTCAATACATGCGCTTAGAGAATTGACATCAACCCGCGTACCCATGTTATCGACAAGCTTACTCAAATCCAAGCGAAGAGAAAACCTTGTGGGGGGAACCGCACCCTCGAGGTCACACGGTAAAACCAGAGTAACGCAGGCGGCGCACGGCATACCATCCACTTAAATGCCAGCCAGTAACGAGCGGGCCATGGTCGGTTAAGAAGGAAGTGTTACAGAAACATGATGACACATCAACTTCGTTATGCCGCGCGAGGCCGCTGATATCAAGCAGGCTTAGACCCATAATACTTCTTTCTATTTACATGCTATAAGTTGAGCTATGGTGAAGTGGTCTGATCGGGCTGTATAACCAACCGCATCTATCATGCAAAGGCTGGGGTTTCGATTCAAGCCCAGTGCAACTACTGGCAACCTGCTATTTCATAAACATCCGCCTATTTTTTAGGCCAACGGTAGACATCTTTCTTTTCTATAGACATATCATTGGACTAACTAGTTTTTGCATGCAAGTCTCCGCACAAGCAGCAAAAAGACGAAACATACTATCTTGGCGTGTATAATGGTAGAGGTCACACTTGATTAATTACGAGGTCACACCGAATTGTCGACCAATGTCATGGTCGCAATGTAGCGAGGACCCCATCACGTCAAGAAGCATCTTGAAATCCTTCCTTCCGAAAAGATTTTAGACCTGAGCCCAGCCGCCAACGGTAATCTTGACAGATCAGGGTCTATGGGACTATGTGGATCCCGGAACGGCGCCATCAGACGCCAACCAGAAACCAGCATGGGATAAGAAGGACCGGACAGCTTTATCGACGATAAGATTGCGGGTAGCTGATAAACTATTGGTTTATGTATCTAGCGCAAAAACGTCGAAAGAAGCTTGGGATACGCTAAAGGGTCTATTGGAAGCTCAAGGGCCATTAGGAATAGTCCTTGCCCGCCGAAAGCTATTTCGGGCTAAGTGCGAGGATGGCACTAGCATTGAAGACCACTTCAGGACCCTGAGAGTCTATCAGGAAGAATTGCAAAATCTCGGACAGAAAATAGAGGACTCAGAATTCTCTATTATTCTACTTACATTGTTACCCGATAACTGGAATAATTACATTTCATCTATCGATTCATCTGCGCTTACAAATGCGCCGCAACTCATAGCCAGAATTCTTGAGCACGACAGACGGCTCAAGATTCAGGGCACCGAAGATACCGCCCTAGCTGCCAAATGGGGCAAGAAAAAATACAGTTCAAAGATAACATGTTTTGGATGCGGCAAACGTGGCCATATACAGGCAGATTGCCGATCAAAACCAAACGATCAATCAAACGAGAAGCATTACAAGAAGTCCAAATTTGGGGGAGCGCGTGCAAATGAAGTCATTGATGATTTCGCTTTTGCAGGAATTGATAGCTCACCCAACATGGCATTCATTTCAGTGCCTAGTGACGCATGGTTAGCGGACTCAGCATGCACTTCTCACATATCGACACAGAGGAGCTATTTTAGTGAATATGCTCCAATATCAAATCATT